AATTTATAGTTAAACAAAGAAGTAGCTTAAATAGTTTTTGGTCTAATGCAGAAGAAGGGAAAAACAAAGGATCTGGATTATAATATAATATATAATTAAACAAGACTCAAAACTTACCATCAACAGGCATATTCCCACCAACGCCAAAACCCATAAGAAATAATAATAAGCATAACTGGGTGAAACTTTGGGCAACGGCTGAAAGAGTGCCAAAAAAGGCGGCGAAAAAGAAGGTAAAATTAAAGGCCTTTTTACGGCCATAATAGTCAGACATTACTCCCCAAAACAAAGCTCCTATCATCATGCCTGTAAATACAGAGCTAGATAATAAGCCAATATATTTTTCATTCACACTATAATGTACTATTTTGTTTTAATGAGAAATAATGTTATAGGATGAAAACGGTTAATCAAATTTTATGGAAATTAAGACTTTAGAAAAGATATCTGATATTGTACCTTTGACTCTTGGTAATATAACTACTATGCACTAAGAAAATATTTATATTTAAATATATATATATTTTAGATTATATATAAAAACATAATTATAAATAATATAAAGTACCTGAAGCCACATCTAAAAAAAAGTAAAGGATTGATTAAGAATCTTGAAATTTAATGATAATTATATATTAATTATTAATAAAATTACGTTGTCAGTGAGCCATCCTAACCCACATAGCAACTAAAAAAAAGAAAAGTATTTATTGTTAGGTTGGCATAAAATGCTGTAATAAAATGTACAGTTATTTTGAGACAAACGAACCAACATTTGTCTTTGAAATTTTCCCATTCCTATTTTGTTAATGATCCTGTCAAGGGCTAACTGCCTTCTAGACATGGAATCATCCGCAGTGATTTGAAGAAACAAGGATCGTTCATCATTAGATTCGGATGACATTGGCATGGTATGTATTAATAGTGGTTCGAAAAGTTAGAATAAAGGTCTGATCAAGTTAAGTTCTTTTATACGGTGTACAAACACAAAGTGACTAAATTAGAAAACCGGAAAACCGGGATTTAATTGACGTGAAAATTTGAGCGTTTTAGGAACTAGATAGTGTTACGCAAAATTTCATATCGATATGCATTATGTCGCAATGCATAGATTAAATTATTTTATTTTCACAATTATGTAATTATTATTATATTTGAGTTATCGTTATATTTATTTAATTTTATCATTTACGTTTTGATTACTTTACGTTTTGATTACTATATTTATCATTAATTGTTCCCACCCGATGATTAAGAGTATATATAAGCGCTTCTGGTGCTCAACGATAATTTGATACAATATTACTAATCAATAAAGTTATTTATGATTATTATCCGTTCTTTGTTAAAATCCACCCATCCTCTAATGTTCACGATACCGAACTAAATTGGCCCGGGTCGAAATTTCCGTTATGTTATAATAACTAGATGGGTTTTATACGATTTTGTATGGCCTTATAATAAAATTTCTTAAAATAACGTTGGTACTACAGTTGAGGTAATTAATTTTCAGAAAAATGCAATTACGATACTGGACTAAGTTTTTGCAAGGCTGTATTGCCATATGAACTTGCAATACTTAAATTTTGTCACGAAAATTACTTTTACATCATGCAATTTTTTCATATGTATCAGATCAAATCCAGATTATTGATTATCTGGTTCTCAATTTTTTTATTTGACAGTCCGGAATTTGAATTTGTTCGGAAATTACGGACTGAGGATTGTTTCTGCACCAACTTATATTTCGAACCGGAGTACATATCCTATTGTAAAATACCGACAATTTCCAGCTTGACTTTCATAAGTCAGAAAATTTATGTTACTTGGACAGATTTCATCGATCATTATATCTGATTAAAAAAATTGCCGGCTGGAAATTTTGTGCACTGTTTCGAACTTTCTGACATAACCACTAAAAAAATTTAATTGTCATTAAAGGAATATAACTTAACGTTATTATCCAAGTTTAAATTAGATTTTCTTAACAAAACATAAGAAAATTCTCATTCAAAGCCTAAAAAGGCGCAAACCAAATATTTGTGGCAATAAAACATTAAGTTTTAAATAATTCAATTTCATATACGTATACTGTTATCTGCTTTGTTGTTTGTATTTCATATTTTATTATTACTATTTAAAAACAAAGTTTGTGCGGATCTTGTAAATATGACTACGTACGTATCTTATGTATCTTATAATTAAGATTTGCGCAATCTTGATGTAAATGAGGCTAATAAAAAACATCTTTGAATATAATATACGTAAAAATAGAGTTTAAACCAATGCTAAGCAAAAAAGACACGTAAGTTATAATTATTATAAATCAAATGTTGTGAAACAAGTCAAATGTTCTAAAATTCAAATTGCGTTTTGTGCAAAGTGATAATTTCGTATATTCACATTATAACAATAGAAATTGTGACTAAAATGATAAGTGATATGCGTTTATTATTCGCTTAGTAATATGTTCATAAAATGTACATAGTACAGTAGTAATTTAAATTTTAAATTTAGTATTTGCATATGTTCGTTCGTGGTACGTATCTATAATTGATTTAGTTATCAGGTTTTATTACAAGCATAGTGCATAAAAAGTACTAATTAAGGAGAGGGAAAAAATGTGACCTAGCTATAGGCACGTGAATGTGAGGGAAAAACGTGACCTAGCGGAGGCACGTGAGAAACGTAACCACGACCCGAACCAAAGATAAGCCGCACGTGAAAGTAGCATTTAATAAATGCTATATTGGGTTTAGCTTGAGGCGAAGCCCATTGAGAACAATTGAATAATGGCTTTGTAGGAACAAAGGTTTTGTTAGTAGCTTGTAGACCTCCAATACTAAATTTAGTTTAGCGCTTGGATCCGGATAATCCGGATATCCGTTAAGCAGTTGCTTATCCGTTATCCATATCCGTTTACAGCTGCTTTGAAAAATAGTGGGACACGTGATAAAATTTTTGATGACCGACAGGTGATTTTCGGTAATAAAAATTTTTGCAGGTGTCGGTAATGCTGTAACACAATTTTCGTTACGCAACATAGACATGATAGCATAGTGGAAGTTCATTTTGATTGGCTATTGATATACCTCGGATAATGTGTCGATCATACCCGGATAAAGCATCGATCGTATGCTCATGATTCATTTCCGATTGGCTAATTTTATTCATTTCACATTACTGCTACGTAGCAAACTTTATACTTCTGTGTAGAATTTATCGAACCTTAAATATTAGACTTATAAAAGTGAAAAATTAAGATTGCTCTGAACTTTTATATATTTATAGAAAAAAACACAAAAGGTATAAACCATGTTTATTACAAAATGATGTTATATTAAAACTTTAGAGACATTAATCTGCTTTGATTGCATATTTTCATAATCTTAATAAATTACTTTAATGAAGAGAATTAAGATATCATATAAAAAATTACATAAAATCTAAATAAATAATTTATATAAAATATAAAAGTAATTTTTGTAATACATACTCTTAAATTTTGTACATAAAATCAGACTTTAAGCCTTGAAGTTTATAATTTATCAGACTAAATATATTAGATTTTGGTGATAGGATATAAACTTGTAAGCCTAAAACCTAGTTTCTAGATATTATAAATTCATATAGCATTATGGTATTATAGTATTATAGCATTATGATATTATAGTATACAGAATTATAGCAAAATCTTAGTTTAAATACTGTAATTACAAAAATTAATTCTCTAACAATTATAGACTAAGATCAAATAAATAACTATCAAAAGGCTTTTGCTAGTTGATATCTTTATTACATTTCTATTTAGCTTGTTATAAAAGTAGATATAAATATATTTTAGTTTGCTAAACAAGATATAAATCTAAAAACTATAAATCTGAATTTATATATTATTTAGCTAATTTAGTATAACAGAGGAGTTTTAAAAGCAAATTTAGATTATAATTCTCTGTATATATTTAATAAAAAATTAAAATCAAATAATAATTATTAAAAAATTTTTGTTTAGTTAATATTTTTAGTTTGACTATTCTAAAAATAGATATAAATATGTTTAGTCTACTAAGTAAGATATGAAATCTAAAAATTATATATATATTTTTTTTTGAATTTAGTAGTCAGGCTACAACTTTATTAAAAATTTTTGTAATACAAAAACCAACAAAAGACTGAAAGATATGTCCTATACATAGCAGTATTTTCCGTTTTCTAAAGTATAGCTTCCCCAGTTTCCATACAAACCTGTGAATAACCTGCTATAATAAGTATTCTCCTCCTTTTACTATCTCATATATTCCAATGCTTTAATAGTAAAGATCAATGGTATGAAACTCACAGCCTGTCCTGACTACAATAGCAAGTTCCTAATTATCCTTCCTAAAAGTCTACTTTAAAGAAACAATAAAGAGAAACCTAACTATAACAATAAGAACTAAAAATAAAAATTGCACAAATTTAAGTAGCAACAATCTATGACTATCATCTACATAAGTAAAAACCTGCTACAAGAAAAAATACTGATGTAGAAGTAATAAAAAAATAAAAAAACAAAGAACAAGAAAAAAGAAAAAAAAAAAAAGAAAAGGGTTGCCCTTTAGCCTGGACTAGGAACAAAAATATTATGTTATAGCAATATAAGCATATCTTATATAATTTCTAACTGAACTCCATCTTTCGATTAATCTGTCTTATACTTTAGCCATATTTTCTAAAGACTAGATATACATAGTTACTTATGTGTAGCACAACAATGATCTAAACAAACTAATTTGTCACATAGTTGCTTTCTCTGTGATAATTCAAAATGGTAAGGATAAACAAAGATTGTCTTTTATAAGAGGAAACCCAATTTCCCATTTTTTAAAAAAGAAAAACAGAAAAAAGGGAAAAAGGAAAAAATCACAGAACTTTGGTATAGAGAGTTTATTCAAGTAGAACCAAAAATCGTAAGCCAGAAGAGGGAGTGTATTGCTACTTAACCCAGTTCAAGTAGTTTAGTGAGTTTATTCACAATATTTCTACAAGTTATCCAGTAGGCCAAGAAAAACCTAAGACCTGCTAAAGTCAGTAGCAAAGCTCCAGTAGGCCTTTTACAAAACTAGTGGTAATAGTTCAAAGACTACACTCTGCCTAGTTCAGGACGTTATCCCTCATACTGTTCAATATTTTTTCCTTGCTGAGTAGTTGAGGTTATTACTTGTAGTCTTTTTTCTGTTTACTCCATTTCGGTTTCAGTAATCGTTAAAAAGAGTTGATGATAATAACTGATATAGCATAATAATTAATCAAGATCTAGAATTGATTATATATAGTATTATGAATCTATAATACTATACTTACAAAACTTTAGCTTAGAAGACCTTTAACATCTACACAAAGTAACTATATGATACTTATATCTTCATAGTTACTTCCTTTTACTAAAACACTAAATCACAAATGAAAATTTAAAGCAAACAGAAGAATCTTTATTACAACTTTATGAATAAAGTGACTTGAGAAGAATTTACAAACTAAGTAAATTCTAACCTTAATCAAAACAAGGCTCTATTAGACCTAAATACTAATAACTCTCTTGAAACATATTGGCATAAAATCTAAACAAGTATTATTTCTACTACTCTCAAAATAATATCTAACAAAAAGATCAAATTTAAAAACTTTCATCACATATACTTATATAAAGCTACATAACTTTATAAAACTCTAAAGCTAATAGAACAAATTATCTGACAAGTTAAACATACATTTAACAATAATCTTCTAATTCTAACAAATACTCTATATTTAATTAACAAAATTAATCAATAGTAATAACTTAATATAAATAACCTTTCTACTGACAATAATCTAACTCCAACATGGTTTACCAATATACAAACATATTAGAAAATATTATATAAAGCT